TGAATTGTTCGAGACGGTCTACTATGATCTGATGGCTCGACTGATCAGTTTAATGAATGGTTGTCAAACCATGCAAGTTCTAGAGCAGGTGCCGACTGGTAATGTGGCATCCAATCAAAACGTATCAAACAGAACTTCTAACATTAAACTTCCTCGGTTGAACTTACCAGTGTTCACTGGCAAATATTCTGAATGGACACCATTCGCTCAGATGTTTCAGACTATGATTTCTGAAAATAACAAGTTATCCAATGTCGAAAAATTACAATATTTGCGATCGTCATTATCAGGCGACGCATCTGATTCAGTCGAGTCATTGGAGTTAACAGGCGAGAATTTTATGGTTGCATGGCGTATTTTATCAGAGCGTTACGACCGAATTCGTGTCATTGTCCAGTCGCATATTCAAGCAGTTATGGACATTCCGTGCATTAGGAAGGAGAGTCATTCAGAACTTAAATCACTAATTAATATTACAATAAAGCACGTGAATGCCTTAAAGTCACTCAAACGTCCAGTCGACAAATGGGATGATATTCTTATTCAAATTCTAGGTAATAAACTTGACTCTAAGACCTTTCGTGATTGGGAGGATACGTTACAGTCTGATCAAATACCCACCACTGATCAATTCATAGAATTTGTGTTGAAGAAATGTAATACACTCGAGTCAGTTAGCAGCAAGGAGAATATCTCCACCAATGGTAAGGCCAATCAAGGTAACTCTCGTAGGTCAGCCATCAGTTGTGCAGCCTCAGTAAGTTTAAAATGCACCTTTTGTAATAAGAATCATCTTATCTATTCGTGCCAGGCTTTTTTAACACTGTCAGTTGTACGTAGATTGGAGGAAATAAAGAAACGTAAGCTGTGCATAAACTGTCTCAAATCCAAGAATCACATAGCAGCGCAATGTACTTCTGGTACATGTAGAACCTGTCAACTAAAGCATAACACTCTTTTACACATAGACAAACAGGGCAGCTCAAGGTCTATTACGACGGATGGATCACCGTCCAATCAGCCTGGGGCATCTGAAACAGTCAATTCTCAGACAGTAGTCACTCATCACATGAGCAATTGCGATAACAAGTATGTGATGCTGTCAACTGCATTAGTCGATGCATTGGATGCTGCGGGAAAGAGGGTATCATGTAGGGTGTTATTGGACAATGGTTCACAGGCTAATTTAGTTACACGAGAATTCTTATCCAAGCTAAGTGTCACAACCAAACAACATCAGGTATCTATCGTCGGGATAAATCAATTAGTTAGCAGCGCAAACGAAATCGCCACTATTATAATTCAGTCGCGCACTAACAGTTTTCGCTTAAGCATAGATTGTATAGTTACGGAAAGAATTACCGGATCGATTCCAATGGTACATATCAATAAACGAGCTATCAATCTGCCTAAAAATATTAGACTTGCAGACCCACAATTCAATGTACCATCAGAGGTTCAATTGTTGTTAGGTGTTGATGTTTTTTGGCAATTGTTGTGTATCGGTCAAATCAAGTCATCTTCAAATAATCCTACTTTACAGAAAACACATCTTGGATGGATTCTAGCAGGATCCATCAACAATACATATTTAAAGAGTAACAGTCAAGGAGACACGATCACGAGTTGCTTAACGTCTGTAGATATTTCCAACAATGAGCTTGAACATTCATTAACAAAATTTTGGGAGTTTGAACATAATCTTTCGAATCAAGTCACTCTATCACCAAGTGAGCGTGAATGTGAAGAACACTTCTTAACAACGATTGCAAGAGATGATGAAGGTCGATTCATTGTCACCTTACCGATCAAATCCGCACAACTTCAGCAACTTGGTGAATCTAGAAGCATAGCGTTGCGCAGGCTATATAATTTAGAGAAACGATTCAAACACAATGTTCAGTTACAAACTGATTATACGAATTTTCTACAAGAATATTTAAAATTAGGACATATGCGCTTAGCAGACGATTCAAGTGTTAACGATGATACAACGCGATTTTACTTACCACATCATTGTGTATTTAAGCAAACAAGTACTACAACCAAGCTTAGGGTGGTATTTGATGGATCCTGTAAATCCAGTACTGGTGCTTCATTAAATGACATTCTAATGGTAGGTCCAGTGGTTCAGTCAGACTTATTCTCATTGCTCGTACGATTTCGCACATATGAATATGTTTTCACTGCAGATGTAGTGAAAATGTATAGACAGATTCTTGTCAATCAGTCGCAGCTATCGTTGCAATCTATACCGTGGCGAGATCATCCCACTGAATCAGTTCGTACTTATGAGCTGAAAACTATCACGTACGGCACTGCTTCTGCACCGTATTTAGCAACTAGATGTCTAAAATATTTAGCAGAGATATATCACAATAAATTTCCAGTAGGTGCACAGGCAATAATTAATGATGTTTACGTTGATGATGTCTTGACTGGTGCGCGATCGTTGTCTGAAGCAATATGTAAGCGTAATCAAATCATTACCATAATGTCAAAGAGTGGTTTTGAGCTCAATAAATGGTTTTCTAATGACATCAGACTTTTAGAGGGACTCCGGTCTACAGGTGGTCAGGAAAATGTTCGTCTAACCGAGAGTTCTACGATTCGCATACTTGGAATGCAATGGAATCCACATGAGGATTCATTTTGTTATACAGTTAATGTGGGAGACATGCATTCAAATGTTACAAAAAGAAACATGTTGGCTGAAGCGTCATGCCTATTCGATCCGTTAGGTTTTATCGGACCAGTCATCCTCATATCAAAGCTAATGATACAGGAATTGTGGAGATTGCAATTAGACTGGGACGCTTCGGTTCCGGTAAACATACATTCACGTTGGTTAGATTACAAGACACAAATATCTAAACTAGTTGAGCTACGTATTCCACGAATGATTGGCCCAACTATGGAAACACTAGAAGTTCAATTTCACGGATTTGCTGATGCCAGTCAGCATGCATACGGAGCGTGCTGTTATTTAAGGATACGTAACTCGCACAATGATTGTCATACACATTTATTGGCATCCAAATCGCGAGTTGCACCAGCAAAGGCAATATCACTACCGCGTTTAGAGTTGTGTGCAGCCTTGCTGTTAGCTCAGTTGCAAGTAAGTTTACTTAAGGCAATTGAATTTCAACCACATCAAATATATCTGTGGACTGATTCCACCATTACCTTGTCATGGATCAAATCAAGCTCTTACAAGTTTGCAACATTTGTATCTAACCGTATTGGAGAAATTCAGAGACTAACCAAAATCAAAGATTGGCATCATATTTCCACTAAACATAATCCTGCAGACATCATTTCTCGTGGGGCAAGCTCTTTGGATTTAATGCAATCGAAATTATGGTGGAATGGTCCAGAATGGTTATCGTCGGACGAAAAGGATTGGCCTGATAATCATCCACAATACCCGGAGACGTTACCAGATCAAGTAAAGGTCAATGTACACGTTGTCAAACAAACATTGGATGTATTTGAGAATTTAATCGTTAGATATCCTAGTTTTGGAAAGTTAATTAGAGTATTGGCATATGTATTTCAATTCATTCACAATTGCAGAAATCCCTTAGAGAAACATACTGGCGTCGCAACAGTGCAGGATAGAGAGTGTGCATTGCAGGCGTTGTGTAGATATGTGCAGCATCAATATTTCGATTCAGAAATACAGGAATTAATTCGTGTAGGAGTAATATCTAAAACAAGTAAAATATTATCTCTTAACCCGTTTTTGGATCGGAATGGATTATTGCGAGTAGGTGGTCGTTTGAGAAATTCTGACATATCGTACGAAGCTAAGCATCCAATTTTGCTACCTAAGGACCATATGATTACTAAGTTGATCATACGTGATGAGCATATTAAGAATTTGCATGCAGGAATTCAATTAACATTGTATGCAGTCCGTAGCAAATTTTGGCCAATTTTAGCTAAAGTAACTACTCGCGATGTCATAAAAAACTGTATAATATGCTTTAAACTTAAGCCTACTATTTCACAAAGTGTCATGAGCGATCTTCCGAGTACACGAGTGACTCCGTCACATCCATTTACACATACTGGGCTGGACTTCGGTGGTCCGTTCATCATAAGGGAGCATAAGCGTCGTAATGCAAGGAAGCTCAAGGCGTATATATGCATTTTTGTATGTTTTTCCACCAAGGCTATGCACATAGAGTTGGTGGCTGACTTAACATCAGAGGCCTTCTTGGCTTCACTTAAACGGTTCATGGCGCGAAGAGGCAAGGTTGCATGCCTGTATTCGGACAATGGGACGAATTTTGTAGGAGCAGCTCGAGAACTCAATGAGTTGCATAGGATGTTCACTGAGGAACAAGTACAGCGCAAATTAAATGACTTCTTTTCAGAGACTCGAATTCAGTGGCAAAACATACCTCCCAATGCTCCGCACTTTGGCGGACTGTGGGAGGCAGCTATCAAATCTGCCAAGTATCATATGAAAAGAATTATTGGCAATGCATCTCTTAATTACGACGAAATGTCAACTGTAATCACTGAAATTGAGGCTATTCTGAATTCGCGTCCCATAAGTCCAATGTCAAATGACCCGAATGATGTTCAAGCGTTATCACCGGGCCACTTTCTTATTGGTCAACCGTTAAATAGTTATAGTCATCCAAATTTAGAAGACATTCAGATAAATCGTTTAAGTCGATGGCAATTGGTAGAAAGGCTGCGTCAACATTTTTGGCAAAGGTGGCAGATTGAATACCTCAATAGCTTGCAAGGTAGAAGCAAATGGATGAACGACAAGGGCCAATCTCTTGAGACAGGACAGTTGGTTATAATTCAACAATCAGGGTTAGCACCAATGCAGTGGTTAATGGGACGTGTGTTGAGTGTAAATAGAAGTTCAGATAACAAAGGACGATCAGCTCAAATTAAAACCAGTAATGGTGTTGTCACTCGTCCATTAGCGCGCTTGGCTATACTACCAGTAGACACTAAGGCATAATGATAGTTAATCAAATATTATTATGTTATTTTAATATGCGCTTGTAGTAATTTACTAACTATTCATATTCTTAATGGAATTTTAGTCATAAGTACATATGCTATTTGTAAATCATCATAATTCTGTTTTGTTCGCTTGTTAACTTCTTTCAGTTCTTGATTGAAACTCATAGGTTTCAATGGGGGGCAGTGTTAGGGATTTTGGGTACTTTAAATTTGTAATCGCCGCCTCCTTTCTCTTCTATGACTATATGGCTTGAGTGAGAGAAACTAGTTCCTAGATTCTAGTTTGTATGGCGCTGTTTGTAATGCACTGAGTGTACGGCGTCCTTCTTGGTGAGCCCGAGTTGCGTTGGCACCACTGGCTAGCGGTGTGTATAATATAATACTTCTTCTCTTCTGTTCGTTACCGTTCCATATAACGGTTGTGTTGTGTATGATTATTCATAGTAGTACATTCAGTGAGCAAATAAATAATTGTAAACCTTGCGAAGTGTTGTCATTACTGTAAACCAAGTAGCGGATACTCATATTACATGATATCCCAGAGCCGTAACTTTTGTCGGCATTCAATTTCTAACAAGGACAAACACTTTTCGACGATCATATTATCACATCGATGCATGTCGCTATTGTAATTATTAAAAAATATTTCTTTGAAATTTGATTCTAATTTTGATTTGTGTCCATTTTCATTCAAAAAATGATATTATCTATTATAAATATTTTCTATTAACGTCAAGACCTGATTACTTGGATAGGTTAATACGTCTTTTGTAGAATATTCCTTAAAAACAGTGTATAAATGATGTTGTTCTTGTTGCGAAGAAAATTAATCGGTTCGGCAACGTAAACAATTTTCGTCAGGAATCCTAAGATTTTTTTACAAGATAACCTGATACATAAGAAAGTGCTTGGGGTGCATCAACATTCAATTCTTCGAAAGTAACCCATTCAAGAGTACACTTGTCGATATTCTCAAGCGATTCACTTTCTTCGTTTTGAATGCTGTGTGCGAATCTTTTTAGGAATTCTCAAAAATTGTCTAAATTTTCACAATTCGAATTGGAGATCGGAACGGATAAATTATTTAAAACAACAGTTTTTAAGGCTGCTACAAACTGATGGCAGGTGGGGTTTGTATTTGTAATACCATGTTGACGTATTTGACAAAATAAGTTTTCTAATGGATCTTGATTTAAATTTCGTAAATTCAAATGCTTTAAGCCGAGAGCTTTCAATTGATGCCATAAATACATCACTGATCTTATTGTTGTTATCCATCCTTTCACGAAAAGGTATTGACTTGTGACATCCTCTCCTGATGTTAATTGTAATAATTTCCATGTAGTCATTTCTGGTAATAATTTGCTCCACAACTCAAAGTGAGGTGAGTCTTCTTGTAAGCAAAATCTATACTTTTTTCCATCTACTGGTTTTAATTTCCAGCCATTTAAGGAATCAAAAAGATCATCTATTAATTGCGCAAACTCTGCCGTTTATAACGATTCTACAGGAAACAATCCATTGACGTTAGATATACCAAAAGATTGAATTGCAGCAACAACAGATCGACTTAATTGACGCGCTGCAACTTTTACTCTCATTTTTATAAAGGAATCTTTAAAGTTAAAATCATTTTTATTTAATTTGTAAAGTTGCTTAAATGAAAAATTTTGCTCAATATCAAAAGCATTTTGAATATATTGAAATTTAGCTACTTTATTTTCAGAAAATTTTATTTTACATCGGAACAAAGCATTACGAGTGCATTTCAGTAAATGTGGAACATCATAAATTACTACTATGATTTCCTGGTTAACTACGAACGTGTAACTAGTTGGGTCAACCTTATTCTCTGCACGTAATTCGAATAGGGCTCTTCTTTGCGTGGAACCTTGGTCACAAACTGTTGCTTTTACTTTGATACCACTCCTGAAATTGCGAAATAATATTTATTATTATAGATTTTAGGTTGCTGCAGAAAATTGTATTAGCCATGAAGTAATAAGTAATTACTTGCTTCCAAGATCTTCTCAGGCCACGAATCATAAAAACGAGCACATGATTAGCAGTTTTAGAAGTTCGACCCAACTCACCTATGTCTTCATAACCAGTAATCTTTTCTTTATGTGCTTCGTAGTGATAATCTTTACTTAAGGATATTTCATTGAATACTAAAGTGCAATATCTATCTAGTTCGTCCATTTTATCGCTTTTTATTTTTAATTGTTCTAGAAGGAGTTCATTTACTCCAGTGTCAAAAGGAATCTTTGACAAAACTTGTTTTAGTATGCGGATTGATGGCAATTGAAAGTAGATGGACAAATATTTGTAAAGGCGAGGACTCCGTTTATACATCGACAAAGCAAAAGTCTTATCCTCTTCTGTCTATCTTTTTCCAACAGGAGTGCGATCTGCATTTCGTAATTGTGAATTGATAAAATTTGTTGTAACGCTATTCAGTTTATTATTAATGTATTCAAAAACATTGTCGTCATACATAGATTTTAATTTCTTTAAAGCATTCCTTTTGTCATGAAGTTGTTTTTTCATTTTACACAATTGTGCAGTAACTGTACGATGAATTTTATACATGCCTCTTTTTCGTGGTGACATTGACTTTAAAGTTGTTCCTATTTCTTTTAAAATTTCTCTTTTTCGTTTTTTTATAGGAGTTGAAAAACCACCATTAAGTTCTAAATCGTTAAAATTCTCATTATTACAATTTATATCCTTATAAATATTTAGCTTGATATTATTTTTACTTCTTCAATTTATTGAGCAATTTCTAGAGTGACTATTAGGAAATTCAATAGGAGTTATTTCATAAATCTTGTCACTATTTACGGAAGTGGAGATATCATACGAGGCAACATTCGCCATTTTAGAAGAATCGTTACAAACAACAGATTCTGATACAGCATTAATAAAAGAATGAGTGATTTCAAAATTTTTAGGTATAACATTTTGATTTAAAAGGTGCTTCGAAGAATTTACGAAATCTTCTTCACAAAAATAATGTTCGCAAATGCGCAAATTTTGACAATTGATTGAAGATTGAAGTATCGAATTCAACAATTATTTAAATAGATTAATCGGTCGTGTGCCGCAATTAAATAAATAGTAGTCTCTTCGGAAATGAATATACTACGAAGAATTTGTTACAGACGATGGAGTAACGAAAATCGGCCGTCTCCCGAGTTCAACAATTTTTTTAGCGAATTAATCGGTCGTGTGCCGCAATTAAATAAATAGTAGTCTCTTCGGGGATGAATATACTACATTTCAGTAATTTTCAAAACCTTGCCACTCCTTACTGGAATTTGTTACACGCGATGGAGTAACGAAAATCGGCCGTCTCTCGAGTTCAACAATTTTTTTAGCGAATTAATCGGTCGTGTGCCGCAATTAAATAAATAGTAGTCTCTTCGGGGATGAATATACTACGATTTAGTAATTTTCTGATCCTAGCCGCTCCTTGCTGGAATTTGTTACAGACGATGATATAACGAAAATCAGCCGTCTCTCGAGTTCAACAATTTTTTTAGCGAATTAGTCGGTCGTGTGCCGCAATTAAATAAATATTAGTCTCTCCGGGGATGAATATACTACGATTTAGTAATTTTTAAATCCTTGCCACCCCTTGCTGGAATTTGTTACGGACGATGAAGTAACAAAAATCGGCCCTCTCTCAAGTTTAACAATTATTTCAACAAATTAATGGGTCGTGTGCATAGTTTTCATAATTTCGATATTATTTAGTAATATATTTACAGCAATTCTGTGAAAATTATTGTCTATCTTCATCTTGCCTGCGTTTAGTTACAATTGACGTAATATTTTATTGATCCTGCCTGCGTTAAGTTACAATTGACGTAATATTTTATTGATTTCCGTGTATTTGATTCATTTGTTTTTCGATATCTGAAAGCGCGGCCCCGAGCGCGATTCGTTCCTGGGTTTCGCCGCGCGCGAGTGAATAGGTGGCCAGAATAGGGGGCTAGCTTCAGCGTCATAATCTTTAAAGATTTTAGAAAACACAATATTTTTCCGTATAAATGATGAAGACCCATTTCCAGTGGAAGAATTGACTACATTTGAATACATTTCTTTAAAACGTATGTAAATAAAATTACATAACACACCTAATTATTTATAGTTGCAGAAATACTATATTTTAAATGTTATTTTAGATAATGATAAGAAAGCATATTTATATGTTCAAAACATGATTAAATAAAAAAAAATATTTATCGAAAATGAAGAAATAAAGACATTATATAGATCAATAGATGATGTTGATTAGTATGTATACTCTAAAAAGTCTTTATGTAGAGTCTATAAAAGGAGTTGTAATTAAATCATAAAGAACTGACAATCATATTCCAATATGAACAGGATAATCAACTGTGATTGATCAGTTCTTAATCATTTCTTACGACTAAAGATTATAGCTGCATTTAGTTTTGACGCATTTTAAGTGTTTATAATTATGATTCTGTTTTTGTCATTCAGTCACAGTAGGTATTAAATAAGAATAGAAGTACTAAAAGTGTTCAATCGAATGCAGCTTATAACTTCTATTGTAGTAGACATTATATTATTACAACTATAAGTTCCGGAACACAATAGATGTTAAGTTCCAAGCCATAAGATATTAACCAATTACAGTCGGAAAGTGAAGAGAATAATCTACTAGGATTGCTCGATTTCTTACGGTTATTTACGGTTTCTTAAAGCTTATTATATCTATTATGTTTCGGGAATTCTTGTATTATATCTGTTGCGTTTTTAAAAACATTTTTTTTTAATTAATTTATTTTTTTAAGTGATATCATTAAATATGAAATACAATCTTCAAAAAGCTTTTCCGAAACAGTTTCATTTAATAGCAGTATAAATTCCTTGGATGAACAGATTGATAATGAGTCTATGAAATCATTATTTATTTTTTCGATAATGAGTCTATGAAATCAATTAATTTTTTTAAGTGATATC